TACCGAATAATTGTTTTGATTTAAATCATATTCAACAAGAAGATATTAATAATTGTGTTATTAAAAACATTAGAACATTGTTTCAAGCATCAGTTTTCCCTCCCGTAGTGGAATCCTATAGCGGTCCACGTCTGTAATATTGATCGACGATCGCATTACAATAGTTGTAAGTTTTAGGCAAGTATAATTGTTAACTACTGTACATATTATTATACCAAACAAATAGCCCATAGACTCATCGGAAGACTTGATTTGTATACGGTTTGACAATAATACGGTCGAACGAACATTTTGAAGAACATACATTCGATAAGAGTTAACAGAATATTCGTTGAGATCTCCTTTGTTCGTTCGGAAAAAACAACTGTTCAAATATGCACATGCATTTACTCGTAAACACACACACAAACTTCTATACGTATCTTAAATATATATATCGGTTATGAATTTTAACAAAAAAATAAACCCTATTTAGCCTTATTCCGACGTAGCGGTCCGTCTATTATTTTTAGAATTGTATGCGAAAAAAACTGTTTTTATCGGAAAAAAACGGGTTCTTTGGTATAAAATGTACAGCTATACGAGAGTTTTTTATTCTAGTTTTGCTATACCACCCACCTTTTTACCACCCCGAGGTCTCGTTTCCCGGGGCGGGGGTAACAATTCAGCACATGGCCCACTTCAGAGCCATCAGAGACAACAGATATTATACGTACGTTTCCTGGTTGAGTGAAAAAATAGAATTTTTGTTGATAAAACCCCTTTATTACTCTTTCAATTGTCGTGCGTGCCCACCTCGTGGATCACAAAGCATTTTCACATTTCAGGAAACGGGTTTTAACAAAAAAAAAAATTCGCTACTCACCCCGTACTACCCCCGAAACGATACGTATAAAGGGGTTGATTAACTCCGGTTAATCCGCAACAAAGGATTGCAACTATACACGAGTGAATACCTAGTTTTTTTTTACTCTTTTCTTATCGTTACAGTTCTATTTTTTTAAAGCTGCGTACGTGTCACCACCACTACGCGTCGGCACCGGAGTTTCCTCATTCGTGAAATGGTTACAAATCATTTAGGAGATTATCGTGTGTACGGCGTATAGGCGTATAGGTGTATATTATACAATACAAAAAGAAGGGACGTGCGCGCGCACGCGTTCGCTCGATAATGGGTGCGGAAACGCGCGCTGATCACAATAATTTTTTAGCAGTTTTTCATTTTTGGCTCACTAGGTATGTAATGCGCGAGACCGCGCACCCTTTTTTTTATATTTATATAATATCTGTACGGGCCGCAAAATATATTGCGTTTTAAACTTCTCATTTGGTTGGAAATCAACCCGTTATATTACATTATGTGGCAATATTGTATCGAGCAATAAATATAATTATTTATTATGACACGTATAGACCGCCGTATAGGGTAGAAACCAATACCCAATGTAGTACATAATATCTTGTACGCTCCTATATGTATACCCTATCTCGTACATCTTATACATTCTTATCATTGTGTACTATAATTATGAAATGTACTATGTGGCTTTGCATCTCTGGACCCCTGCCTGCATTAGATTTTAAATAAATATTATATTCTTTAAACGTATCGTTTTAATCGATTTCTCCGAACTATTGGGATTATCGAAACGATAACTAGTAAAACGTACAGCACATATTATAAACAGATATAAATCACGCGTTATTTACCAATAGAACCTTTAAAATATCATTATTACCATCGGTTGCGTTTTTTTACGAGTTAAATCTGCAAACCCCACTACGATGTTGCCGACAACTCGAGGAGCTCCGTTTCGAATTATTTTTTAAGCCCGATTAATTGCATTACGCGAAAAATCGAAATATTGTAAAATTTAATCTCCAGACACTTTAATTTATGCACCCGTGTAAAAGTTGTATTCAACCTAAATTTTTCTTTACCTTTCTTAGACATAAATAATAATGAAATCACGAGACATGACCTTAATTTGATTTTACGCCGAATCAAGATTCTACTTATTTCGGATGTTTGTAAACGTAAAAAAATACTTATAAATTCATGAAAAATATATTTGTTTTATAATAAGACACATAAGAGAGCTTATAAGAGCTCAGCGAACATATTGGTCGAATGTGTTAAGTTTGAAATGAAGGACGTAGAGGAAAATAAATCTATTTTATTACGTTACAACGTGTACAATGAGATATATTTTAGATCGGTTAGAAATCCTACCGTTTATTGTTTGCTCTATAAAACTATAACCTACATGTACAAAAAAAAAAAATTTCTAAAAAAATTAAAAATTACACGAGGACGAGCAATAATGGTGGACGGGCAAACTTTGTTTACGATTTCTTTACCATATAAATCATATTTATCCCTGAAATTAATAATCATTTTGTTCCAAACAATTTTTCTGAGTATCGTTTTACATTTTCATATACTTTATTCATCGTTGTTCAACTGATATTCTGACAATCCAATCAATCCGATACATACATATAATGTTGTCAACATTTTTTTACATCGTCGATTTGCGATTCAAATTAAGAAATGCCAGTTGCCACGTGGTCGTTTTACGTCGTCTACGAAGTGACGCACTCGATTAAACGAGAGATTAACATATTTGAGTGGACGCATATAGTTTTTAAATCACAACCACGTGTGATCGGCGGCAATCGTTTGACCAGCCTAAATAATCTTACCAGACTTATAATATTAGTATTTTACCTCCGATTTGCGCATAACACGGGCACTGTTGTTGTGTACCACAAATCGAATACCATTTATTAATCCAAAATAAAAAACAAACATACGTTGAATTATATTTTAATCGGCGTTCGTAACAGCGCATATATTCACCGAGAATCAACACGATGACGGTGACCGGTAACAGGTAAACATTATCGGACCGGAAATGGTCCGTTCGGCGGCTGTGGCGCTTCTTTTGTCCCTTGTTGCGGCTTTTTATTTATTTATTTTTTTTTTTATCGAAGCCACCACCATAGGGTGATAATATTATTATGTGTAACATGCCGCGTGAGGATCGAAAACGATACCGGACCAGGTATGCGTTAAAATGTTACCGTCTCTTAACGACGTTGAAATCCGGATTTGCAAATATAACCGGACAAAACCACGTTTTTCATAACGACGTCCCGCGGGTTTGTTTCCTGGACATTGTTTACCGGCCAAGAACTGCCGTCGTATCGAAAGGTTGAGATCGGTTCACGCCACTGCGACTGTGGCGTGATGTGACGTCAAAATGTTGTCCTGAATCTAAACCCGGTACATACAGACACGTCACGTCGTAAACGTTGTCGGTCAACACCGTACGAACGTAATTCAGCACTAAATACACACATGATAATAATAATAAAGATGATATTTTGACGTTCTGGGAACGGGGTGGAAATTGAAAAATAAAAGTTGGAAACAATTTTGGGAAATTGTAATTTTTTTTTTTTATTTGTTAGTCCTTTAACAGACGATAATCGACTTGTTACACGTGTGTTTATATAATTAAGAGCAAATATTAGATTATTATAACATGATAGGTTCCCCTATTATTTAAATGTGATGTTAGAAAATAATTGACGAGTACAGAGCTATTTTTATTTACCTGGGTTTGCGTTGTAATCGTGTTACAATCATCATACAACGGACATGGGATGTGCTAATTTTTTAACTATTCGCTTTATAAATTTTGAGATGTAAAAATGTCTACAATTCCGATGTTCAGAAATGTATACGCACGTGCGAATAGTGAAAATATTCAGATACTGTTATTGCATTGAAATTAAAACCAATATAACTTCTTCGGGTAGGTTTTTTAGGAATTCAAGAAAATATAAATAACGACGGTGTAAAATAATTCTTAATGCATTTAGAATAAATATTTTCAAAACCAACACTTATACTCACACGTGTATTGTATACAACCAACTCTCAGTTTAAATGTGTACCTGCTGCGAAAAGGTCATCTACTGTTCGCAAACAACCCCAACATAACGGGATTTCTTTTTCTTCTTTTTTATTATTAATTTGGCAAAGAAACCGTTCTTTACGAGGGGTTATTCGGTTTGTTTGAACCTTAAAGTATAATTTTTTATTTTTCATTATTTTTTTGCAACGCATTAACCCATTTTTGTGGGATTTCTCTTCGTTTTCCATTAAAAAAAAAAAAGACGAAAAAAAAAAACACGAGTCTTCAAAAGGAAACACACATGGCTCTCTTAATGCTGATATAACGGCAGATTTTTGTAGAAAAAAGGGAACAAAAATGCACAGCAAACAAACAAGGAAATTCGAGAGTTTTACTAACTACAATATAGATCGATATATATACACATACATATATAGTATTAATAACATTCACAACGATAAATATTTTTAAAGACTTGAGCACATTTATTCAGACCATAATTCAAAATGCTTTAACAAAATAATAAACCTAAATAATTAGTTTATAAATGGCACAATGATTAATGACAATTCAATATTACTGACAATAATAATAATAATAATAATAATAATAATAATAATAATAATAAAAATAATAATAATAATATGTAAATAAACCTTCCATTTCAAATTGTAATTCTTCTAATTTTTTTGTTACATATTAAAAAAAAAATATTTATTGAAATATTTTACAACAGTTAAAAGAAAGAATGAGAAACAAACAAAATACCTACTGGCTATGTCAATAATAATTACTTGATGAGCCAACATTTTTTTCAATGTTTTCCTCCATAAAATTCAGTCTTAACTTTACGATAATTTGTACATTTTAATATGATAGGTAATAGAATAAATAATACATTGATATATTTTACATATTTAATAATATCTATTATAGGAGTAAAAAAAAAAAATAAATGGGCAAAAAATAAAAACAAATATATCACATACGCACTTGTACTTTACATACGAATAACGAAATGGGAATGTAATTGAAAATCGAATCATAAATATTAAGTAATGATAAATGTAATAATTAGATTTTTAATTTTTTTTTATTCGACTGAAAACTTTTATGTACATTTTTATAATCAACATTAGCAAACCTTTTGCCTTAAATATTACGATACACCGAACTAGCGCCGATGTTATTTGTTCATAATAATTAAAGTAGGGTTGTAGCTGAACAATAGTGTTTTGAATTCCGAATCCATATAAAACGTTATATACGCATTATTACAGGTATCTTAAATTAACTGTACATATTTTTATTTAATATGTATTGCACATGATTTTTGATTTTTGTCATAAAAATAAAAGAAAAAGTAATCATAGTTTAAAAATGTTTAAAGATGAAAAAAATTGAGCTTAAATCTATGGTTTCCTACGCTGAAGAATTAAAAATTGTTTCTATCGTAGTACAATGTACATGATGTCATTTTATAGTAATATTTTTCGAGCTATAATAAACGTTGATAGTATTTTATATAAATAGGTATATTATACGTAAATTGTAAACCTCCTCAATTTCTTTTTATCTATACATTTATTCGTTTTTTTTATTTTTGTTTTATTTTCTCGTTTTCTTCGTGAAGCGTATTCGGACGATTAACACTATTTACACGTGAGATCCATGGCTAGGTCGACGGGTTGTTCCGACCTCGATACGTCCACGATGATTTTGTTCGCGTTCGACCTAGATTTGATCGAAAGATCTTCGGGCTCGGTCTGCTCGGGTGATTGGAACTTACCCACGGGCTCGTTTTTCTCGGGCGATTGAAACCGCGCGATGAACTGCAGATAGTGATACGGCTCGATAGACGGCGTGAGAACGGTGGGCGGCGAAATCGGTGCCGGTCGCTGTTGCACGTACGCCGCCTGAGGCTGCGGCGGTGGCGACGACCAATAACTGCTGGGCACGGACGTCTGCGGAGACGGTGGCGGGGAACCGTGCGTGACCGGCGACCACGGTGCCGAAGTCGACGGTTCGGTCTGGTGTTCGATAAGGTTGGTGTTGTTGTTGTTATTACTGCTGCTGTTGTTGTTGTTGTTGTTGGTGGTAGAAGCCGAGTTGGTGATCGCCGCCGCCGTATCCTTGTTGGCTCGTCTTCGCTTCTGCGCCGGTTTCGCACCGCCGCCGAGTCCGCCGCGCGGTTTGTTATTCTCCTTGTGCTGGCGCTTGTGATCCTTTAGCTCGGCGGCCGTCTCGAAGTACGCGACGCAGTACTCGCACGGGTACGAGCTCTCGCCCGTGTGCGTCTTGAGATGCCGGCGAAGGTTGGCGACCTGCACGAAGAACCGATTGCAGTGCGGGCACCAGAACGGCTTCTCGCCGGTGTGCAGCCGCACGTGCGTCTTCAGATGGTGGTCGCGGGTGAAGCATTTCTTGCACACCGAGCACACGAACGGTTTTTCGCCCGTGTGCGTCCGCTCGTGGTTCTGCAGCACGTGTTTGTACCCGAACTCCTTGCCGCACACCGTGCACTTGAACGGCCGGCTCTGGCGCTGGCGCGACGACGCGGTGGACGGCGGGTTCGACGAGGACGCGGACGACGACGCGACCGATGACGTCTCGTCGTCCGGCACCGGCGGTGCGATGGCCGCGGGCGGTTGGTTGTTGTTACGCCGGTCCAGCCAGTCCGGGTGCAGGTCGAACACCTGGTGCATGACCTGCATCAGGATCAGGTCCTCGGACGTGGGTCCGCCGGCCCGCTGCTTGCCGCCGTTACCGTCCTTCAACCGGTGGTAACCGTCCACGAACAGCGACCGCAATTCCTGTTCGTCCCTGGGGAACTGGTTGATGTTGAAGTGCTCCAGAAGTGCCTTCAGCGCGAAATGTACGCGGAAGTCGTTCAGGTTTCCTGTTGGCAAAGACAATTAACGTTCGATTAGCGTTCATGCAAAATATAACCGTACAGCGCAACTGTCGCTACGCAAAAAACGAAACCGTTTACCGAGACGTTTAAAACGGGTTCGAAGTGCACGCGACGAGGTTTGAAAGTACCTACACCTTATAAACGGGCCCAATTGTTTTAGTCATAATCGAAAACATTATAAACGGTCGTTTGACAATGATAAAATGAACTATTTAAACTTATTTGATACGCAATGCACGTGGTTAAAGGGCTAAAAAAAAGTATATACTTAGGATATCTAAAAGAATTAATAAGCATTTCGTCAAATGTACATACAATGGAAATTCGTTTATAATATGTGTTTCCAACATAAAGGATAAATATTTCAGGGGTTCAGAATTTTTAGGCTTCATTTTAGGTACGGGTAAATATAATCGCAGCAATTAATCCATAATAAAATTATGAGTAAACTAAATCTAGTTCATACAGTTAACATAAAAAGTTATGATTCATCGGGTTACACATCTAAATTTCAAATTAATCAAAATTAAATTAATTATTTAACTTCATAGATATTCGTATCAATCATACCAACTTTAATTTAATGATTCTATTTACAAAATTTTCATTTACAATGGTATTAGAGAACATAATATTAGAATATTATCGACAAACGCTATATTGTTTATTTTCTAGATTTGGTCATTATTAAGTCTTAAATAGATACACAAATAAATTAATCGATAGTTTATAGAAATAGTTAGAGGCGTTGAAACTTTTATAAACAAAATTATGTAATACCTTAATGTAACAACAAAGGGTACATAAAATATTATTAATTGTAATTACGTGATTTAATTAAAAGATATTTGAATGAAAATATTTTGAACACATGGCTAAACATTTTTAGATGATCAGAAATTAATTTTTGACAGCGAGAAATCTACACCTGTATATGTAAACAAAAACCGAGCGATACCGAAGCTACGAATCTTATCGTTATAGAAAACCGATCGGTAATTAAAGTGCACCGGATGACATTATTTATCGGTAAACACAATATTTTTATCGAATGAACGGGAAAGTAAAAAGTCGTGAAACCTCGAAGACATGATTTGGGGTATAAAATACAAACGGAAGCAGTAGAGAACGGAACAAACGTTGTACCAAGAGATTTATTATTAACCGTAGTACAATCGAGAGGTTATAATGAAATATCGGAGGATCTATTTTAAAGTCGCGGCGCGCAACAGCTTATCGATAAAACAGCGTTTACGACGAACGAGAACGATTCGATAACAATATTATTAATAGTGTGTCGAACTACGGCGGAAAAAAGTGTAATAGTACGGAAAGCGGCGGCGTTCCGCGAGCGCACACCTGTGCCACCACCGCGACCGCGAATCGGGCGGAGGTGGCGGCTTGCCCGCGCTCGCGGAAACGAATACGGCTAATAATAGAAACGGCAACAAACGAAACGCAACGATAACACGACCGATTATAATAATAATAATAATGATAATAATGATGATGTTACCGAACGCGAAACGATAAAACGTCGACTGTTTGACTCGTGATCAACGAGCGAACACGAGAACATTGCGGCGGGCGCTACGGTAATCAAACATGGTAAATACCCGTGATGTCCATGTCGTCGTTGTGTTCGGACTTGAAAGGCTCCAGGTCGGGCTTCGAGGTCCCCAATACGGGCGCCATCAGACTCCCATATAACACCATATAAACAGATCGCGGACAACGTCTGCGACGGTCGGTCGCGCGAAGAACGTCGTGTTGTCACCGGCGACGGCAACGGAAACGCTTAACGGTGACGACGTAATATTATTGTTATTATTATTATTATTAGTACGACGGATCGTACGAACACCGGTAATAATTAAAACGGATGCGATCGTCGGTTGTTGGTGTTATTGTTGTTCGAAGAGAATAAAAACCGTCGGCCACGAAAGTAATGATTGTTAACGATAAATATCGGATCGATCCGACGGGATCGTTGTCGATCACAATTAACGCACTGACACGCACGTAATTACGTTGTCTGCGTTATTTAAACGCGGCAGAGGCATACATGCAAGAAGAACGCGCGCGACCGGTGACGGAGAAACGATGAAGTGATGTGCGCGCGGCCGACGCATACGAATGACACTGGTGTAATGTTATTATTTTTGCCGGATTTTTGGAAACCGGCTCGCGGCCCGTCAAGGGGTGGGCTGGCGGGCGCGAGGGGTCCGTTGGCCCCGCCTAATTCGTTCCCACCACCGCCGGACGCCCGCAAATGGGGTGGAAGTAGGGATCGGACAACCGCGACGGCGGCGACCGCCGATCGCTGTTGATTACCGCCGCCGCCGCCGCTGCCGCGTCGAGCATTTTTCGTCATCGCATTACGATTTTAACAATACACTTATCACCGTTCGTTGTTATCGTCGATCGTGGTGCGTGATAAGAATTATGCTCGGCCTTTTACCATTGTTTCGCTTGGCACGCAAGTGTGAAAATAGAAATCTACGTGGGCACGACAACACCGCGACCGTTGACGGAAAACAGCACACATTGTGAAAAATTAAATCGTAACGTTACAACTACTCGTCTAACTCGTCTAGTTTTTGTAGACTAATAAACACGGGTTCAGAACACCCGTCGAAATTCCCGAAAATACCGTTTACGTTTGCGATTGTTTAAACGTGTTTATTTGTTTGCTAACCGGTATCGGAAAAATAAGCACCTAAACGCATATAATTTATTTAGATTTCCGCGCGTAAACATGTTTTCAAAGTCACCGAATCATTAACCGAATCGATACGTAGAACTGTACAGTTTATAATGTTCAAAATACGTTTAGAAACCGTCTGGAATTTGGTACGCTCGCAGGATGAGACTTTCCTGACTTTTTTCCCATACTTGTGTGTACAGCGAAACACGTTTTTTATTGGTTCACCGTCCAGTTGCGGAAAACTCAAAATATTCGTCAGTGGAAATATGTATTCGGTGCCTCGCAGTGTGTGTGCACCAGTATATTATATTCACTAGAACTGAAGCTCATTGTCCTTTTTGACATAAGGGACATAAACGCTCCATGATATTTTTATTATTATTCTCTATATCATAATAAGAAATCTCAAAGATTTAAATAATTATCGTGCCGAGACGCGAGAAAATATATGCTCGTCGACATTTATTTATATACCCCTCGGAGACTATACTTTATTAGTATTATGAATACCTAGTATTAGTAGAGGTTTTATCGGGGGGGGGGGGGGGTTTTTCAGAGGATTTGGATCTCTCACCCGGGTCACGAGTTTATGCTGTGATATGTTATTCGATCGGAACGCTTTGGTTTAAAATGCTATGTTATGTTTTCTTAGTTTAAAATAATTAAATTTTAATTAATAAATTATTAATGGGTTAAATTTATTTTTATTTTTATATATTATAAGATAATATCAAAGAACCCCCCCTCCAGGAAACATTCTAAAAACACTACAGACTGTTTTCTAAAAAACCAACATTATATTACAATACATGGTTGTACAATCTACATTAATATAGATGTATATATGTTGTTCAACTAATAAAAGTGGACTGTGAATTTAAACTCCTAGTAGATAGGTAATTCATTTTCTTTAATTGCCAGTCGGAATTTCGTGTTTAAATGTTTCATGTATGATGTTTAGGAATTTCAAAAAACATCAATGTTTTGGAAACAGATGTTTTAAGCTAAAATTTTTCATTTGCAAACAATAAAATATAGATACACATATAATTATAATTTAATATTAATTTAGCTAATAAAACAAGTCAGGATGACTGTATCTTGATCTTAATTCATAACAATAGTCTTATCGCTAGAAAAATAATATAATAGCCTTGTAATTCTATAATACTTAATTATAGAAATAAACTAAAATTTTTCCCAAAAATAAATAATTGAAACCGGTTTTATGAAAAATCGGCATCAAAATTGATTTTTTTAAACAACTTAGCTGATCAATTTTGGCTTCAATATTAATTACAACATTGGTTTCCATTAAAAATAATATAAAAAATATTTTGTTATAACTTACGAATTTATTGTGATTATATTTAACTGACTGTGAACTGTATATAAATATAATATGTATTTAAATTTAAATTTCTTACACAATGTTTTTATTTTTAATCTTTCTAATAAATAAGTAAATAAATTGAGTTGATTGCGTATGTTTAAATTTTAAATGTTTATAATTAATTTAACTTGTGGGCTATGGCAAAGAATAATCATTTTTGTCCTATATAATGTATGTTCGTTTTTTTAAAAACCATCGATGTTTTTCTAAATACATCGAGTTCTTGACTTCGATGTTTTTTTTTATTTATTGATTCTGTCACCATCGATGTTTCGTAATAAATAAATCGATACATCCATACATTGATGTTCACAAAAAAATTGCCATCCCTAGTGATGTTACATAATAAATTTTATTGATTTTAAATACAAGCATATAAGAAAACTGAATAAAAACATATCGTATAGAAATAGAATATAATAATACACTACTATGATTTGTAACTAATGTTACTGACCTATATCAATAAAAATTATAATCAAAAAATATGATTTCATTTTAATAGCCAGTAACTATCTAGTTGGTAATAGCTAGTTAACTAATATGCTCGTAACTAATATTTTTTTATTTCGGGCAACTTTCCCACTCATATTTATTGCTTAATTGCTACTTGTGTTCTTTATCGATAACACTGTTATTATTTTATATTATTTTCTCTTAATTATGTTATCAACCAATTTTCCTTCTTATTATTGACCTTTTAAAAATATCTATTTTTAAACTCATTGTATAGTTTAGATAAACAATCTATATTGTGTTGAGTCATGTTCGAACGTGTTCCATACACTACGTTGCATGCCGGTATATTTCCCAAATGATTTCGTTTTAATTTATAATTATAGTTTCCGATTATAGTACAATTTTCTTTAAATAGCAACACGTATACTTATGGTAGTAACTCAGCAAATTATTGTTATTTTTATACTTCTTATATTTGAACAATAATATTGGTGAATAATAAAAAAAATTGTTTTAGTCAAGTTATGTTACATATAAATATATGTATATTTATGTATTATTATATGTACGGATAAAAATATTTAAAGAATCCAAATAATGAAGTATTGAAGTTATAAATTATATTATATTTTAATAGGTTAATTTCGTTAAAACGAATAAGTAATTAGAAGTACGATTATGTTAAAAAATAGAAAATTGTATTTTGATATATTAAAAATGTATAAGTGAAATTTATTAAAAATGCATATGGACCGTAAAAATCATTGAATGAAACAGGAATAAAATAATCTTTGGAGTAAAATTGTTATTAGTTGTATCAATGAGAAGTTGGTAAACAATCAAAAACTGATGGTTTATTGAAATAATTCGTTTGATTGTTACCTCAATTAACGATTTAAAAATACTATTATTTTTAATTAGAACGAGGAATTATTGATTCATGTTATTGATTTAATAACAGAAAATGTACCTGTTTTTACAGTTAAATATTAATATGAACTTATGCAAATAGTTTTGATGTTAAAATTCAAACAATTTTGATTTATTTCTGTGATTTATAATTTAGTAATTCATCGGAAAAATGTGTATTACCATATGGTTTTTTTTTTTTTTTTATTATGTGGTTTAATATTGTTTTTTTAAACACGTTTTTGAATATATGATCATTCACGCGAGCATGTTTTTCCCAAAAAATGCGTCAATGTACATGAATGTATAAATTTTCAGATGGTAGTGCTTCAATAATAATTATACTAAACGAACAACACATAATTTTTGATGAATATCAAACATCGGGGTCTGGTAATCGTTTATGTCAACATATTCATTTAAATTAATCCCTGCCGCATATACATAATAAAATATACTGTAGCAACTAACTGGCGTGCCTCAAACACCTCAATAACGGCCGCGTGAGTCATGATTAAACATTTCAAATTAATCTTGCTATTATATTCGTAGAAGTATTTTAAAAATTGAAAATAAGACTACCCATTCCGAGCGAGAGTTTTATAACATAGGTAGGTAGTAGGTATTTATAACACTGTACAGTATAAATCATTAGAAGGTATACGGGTTTTTCGGTGAAAAGACAGTTTACCGTATGGGTATTTTGACGAAAGGATATTTAGGCGAATGGATATTTGAAATAATAATTGAGTGGTCCTTTCGACGAAATATTTTTTTGACGAAATTCATTTTGCCGAAATGTTCTAAAACCTTATTAGAATACTACAAATATTCACTGTTAAAATTGTAATGGCAATCAGCTGATCGAGCTATATTGGACCCATAATATTACATACCAATGGGGTATAACAAATGTATCAACTAATTATATTGCGTCATCTTTTAGTCTTACGATTCTTTATATGCGTTTTCACTCAAGTTTCTATGAAACTTTTCAGAAATGTATAATTTTGACCTTTACATGTAATATATTTGTATTTATTCGTATGTAATATCTATAACTATTATACACAATATACTCTATAGTCAACTACCAATTAAAAATAATAAAGAAACAAGTATTGAAATTTATAAAGTTAATGAACACCAGCATAACGACAATGAAGTGGGGGAGGGGATGTAAAATTAGTAATTTTCATATTTCCAATTCAAAATTCTATGGAATCACTTTTTCAAATAATATTTTTACTTAAAGGCTAAGATGTACATAATTATTTACTACTTATATACTCATACATTATTATAATGGTGTAATCTATAACAAAGTAATAAATTTGTAATAAAATATAGTTCATTTTAAAAATTTTAAGGATCAATTGGCTAAATAGTATTATTAAAGAACGAAATTAAAGTAAATAATATTAATAAAACAATAAGAATTAATGTCTTATTATTTTTAAGACTTTTTAGGATAGTAAGATTCATTTAAAAAAGTTCGCCCAATTACTGTTTAGTTTTGTGAATTCTTCTATGGTTTTAACCTTTATTTTTGAACTCTTCATTTTCGAAATTTAAAATACTAATATTAAGGAAACCAATCTTGTGAAACCGAATTCCTTTGACAATTTTCAATCAATTTTTTAATTTAAAAAACAAGCGTTCAAAAGA